GAGCCGACGTCCCAACGCTCGAGTCAGGCGTCTCCATTCGACAGTCACCCGAGAAATTGCTTGTCTTCTCACTACTATTACTACGACTACTTCTTCTTCCCCATCTCGACCTCGCCTTGTGAACCCAGGTGAAGGGTCAACGCAGCCTATCAATTTCTTCCTAGTGGGCTCTCTCTCTTCCATCTCTCCATCTCTTCCATCTCTTGTTGCTCTTTTTCTTTTTTCCTCTTCTATACATCTTCTTCTTTTTTTCATACTTACTCTTCTATACTTTGTTTTTTCTGGGCTCCCTTTTCTTTTTCCCTTTGCTTCTCTTATCCCCCTTTTAGCAATAAAACTCTCCCTCTTCAAGGCGATATAATTATACGCACAGACACGGAGTGGGCCATCCGCTGGCCTGTCGGCTTTGAAGCTCATCAAGAGAGTGTCGAAGCCTGAACCTGCTCGCCGTGTGTTTCCTCACTCCCCGTACGGTATCCTACTATGTATACAAAGTCAACCAAAGCAGGTCTCGCCTAAGTTTTGGGGCAAACGTATGGCGGAACATGCACATCAAAAAGCACAGAAACGCACCAAACCCGCTGCTTCATCTTGATCGACATATTGGTTCCATGTGATTGAATTATTCGGGAAACCCTGTTTAGGTCATCTTCAACTGCTTGGGAGGAGGAAGAAGCAGAAGAGAAGAAGAAGAAGCAAAAATAAAAAAGCCACCGCAGGATGGCCCTAGGTGACTTGTGGGGTATTCAGTTTTGATGCACAGTCTACAGTCTTTTGCAAGAAAGCTGTTTAAAAAAAAGAAGAAGAAGAAGAAGTGCCCTTTTTTTTTTCTTTTCGAAGGGGGCCCTGCAGTGCGTTGGGTGGTCTGTAACACTATTTATGTATGTCTGTGGATCAAGAAGTTATCAGCAAAAAAGAAAAGGTACGCTGCATCTTCCGTTTTTTTTTTCTATTTTTCTTTTTCTTTTTCTTTTTTTTTTTTCTTTTTAGCTGCTGCTGCTGCTGCTTCTAACAACTCGCCATCTACACGTTCGAACCAATATATTTATGATTTGAATACCCTTTCCAGACCTTATCTTCTGATCCGATCGCATCTTGATTTCCTCTGCATCCAGCCAGAAGAGAAGAACCCCTCCAAAATAAAAAAAAGAAAAAGAAAAGGAAAAAGAAAAAAGAAAAAAAGGCCTCCCGTCTTTTGCTTTTTCATACATCTATACTTCGTCCATATATATCCTCTCCCCTTGGGCGACCAGCCACCCTTTTCTACTCCCACTCCCACCTATCACCCTCTCCAATAAATCTACTACTTGAAGTTCTTCCACATATCTATACTATTCGATCATACTCGAATACCAACAGATTGATATCTGTTCAGTTCGTTGTTGATTTTTAACATCATCAACCAAGACCCTTCCTTTTATACATACAAACCACCACGGCATCCCCCGATATCCACCACCATTTCCTCTCTTTTTATATACGGTGCCACAGTATAGATCTTGATAGCACTCGTCACCACTTCTTCAACCATCACTCTCTTCCACATCTTTCTCTGGGCTAGAGAGCGGAGAAAGATTTTACTCTGTTCTATCATTCATTTTCTCTCTCTACACACTGAACAGCAAAAAGGCATCGAACGGGTTTCACCTCGAGTGAGCCCCCGTCTTCAGACTACTACAAAATGGTAGTCAACTCTGAGGCAGGCCGTCCCCGTGTCAACATGAAGGGGATGGACCAGTACTCTTCTATGCACTGCCAGGCTCAGGCTCAGGGAGTCGAGGAGTATCCTTCATGGAACACAATGCCGGTATGTGAACAGTCTGATATCAAATTCTGGTGTGACTTGGAATTTCGTTCATTTGACTGACATTGGATGAAAAAAACAAAAAGCCCATGATGGCCGGTGCTCATCCAGCTACCAATACTGCCCTGAAAGTTCCATACCCCCATTTTGCACTAGTGGGTATCGACTGGTCTGGACAGCTCAAGTTCCATTCCTCTCTTCTCGAAAAGTTCAATGGCCCCGTCTTTACCTCGGAATTCAAACACTGGTTTGAAAGGGCAACGGGAGTCAAGGCTCTTGATAGATCCCCTATCTTTGCCGGTTGGTAGCCAGCCTATTGAGAAAGTTTTTTTCTTTTGCTCTTGTCTTGAAATCCCTTTGCTTATCAATGTCTTATTAGGAGACGACTCATACCAAGGAAGACCGTGGTCTATGGCCCAGGAGGTAGATGTCTTCCCAAACCCAGACTTCCCAAAGAAGCGTCGCCGAGAGATAATTCACCAGGCTCCCGTAGAACCAGAGGAGCAGGTCAATGATATGGAAGCAGTCGAGATGGTACCACTCGAAATAGGAAACGAGGAGAAGATTGAGGCATACTACGAGTCCGCCTTCAGAGCTTTCCAGCAGATCAACTGTCGTCAGGTAGCAAAGGCCTATATCAAAATCATCGAACCACGCAAGCAAGTCAAGCATCCTTATAATGGAGGGCGAGGTGCTCCCGGAGAGAAGGGAGACCCGGAGAAGACCAAGCCAGATTGGTGGCCAACAGGTGTCATTCACCGTGAACCCGATCACTTAAAGAAGCCAGAACGGATACGCCTCCTTGTTCACATCTTCCGCAAGCTTGGAAAGACCCATGGGATTACTGCCGACAAGCTAGAAGAGGCCGGAAGGGATGCACAGAGACAGATAAAACCCCGTGAGAGACTTGATATCCTGGATGAGATTTACAAGGTCCGAAGGGCGGAGGAGTGCTATGAGAGAGGCGAAGCAGGTAGGCCTTTTGGAGCTAGCAAGGGAACGTCAAGGACACCTCACATGAACTGACTGTGGGATATATTAGATGCAAATGCCGTGGTATATGTCGTTAACAGAGATGCAAACACCAAATCCGAACGCGAATCCGGAGCAATGAGCGATGCCGGCCAGAGCTCAACCCTCGCGGACGAATCGAGAAAGGCAATGGAGTCCCAAGCCACAAAATATCCTACTCTCTCATCCTCACACCACATAGCGAAGAGGCAGTCCCTCGTCCGCGACCACAAGCCACCTCACCTTTTCCGCACCCCAAATCTCGCTGACTTTACAGGCATGGAAAGTAAGCCTCCCGCGGATCAAACCATCGAATACTTCTCCCAGTCAGATTTCGCCACATCCCCCGTTGATGAACATATCAACACCATCAGAGACGGCCATCACTGGTCGTCCTTCCAACAACCCCTATACAGCCCTGTGGAATATGCCCCAAACCACCTCGTACCGCAACAACTCCTTGCTCCTCCTTCCATGGTCACCAGTGAAGCACCCAACTCCAGCCTACAGCAGACCCATGGCCTCCCTCTTCCCGAACCGCACGGCTCAAGGCATCAATCCTTCGACTACATCTCGATGGACGGCAACCCATTCAACTCCGGGCAGATGACACATCAATTACTAGCCCAAAGCAGCCAGGAATCGGATCCAGTTGCACGATATAAATGATCAATGAACAGTTTCTCATTCTTATTCCTCTCACCCATGGCGCACTTAAAAGCCCATGCTGCGACGGAATCCGGTTTCCGGCCGACGAGATCACTCACTACTCCTTCCTCGCTCGGTATTTTTTTGTCTGTATTCCCCCCTTTTTGGTCTTACTCTCGCCCAAGTGAGGTGCATGTATGTATGGCTTGAGCTCTTTCGGCTCGCTTGATGGTTTTTCTCTTGGATATCTTAACATATTTTCTTTCTCCTCTTATGAGCTACCTAATCTATCTCGTGTTTTCTTCAGGAATATCCTTTTCTCCATTGTTGATTTCGTTTCATTCTGTCTTGACTGCATTCATCGTTGATGCATAAAAAATTGGACTGAAAAAGGGGGGTTGGCTGATATCTACGTTCTTTTCTCAGTTGCAAAGGTAAAAAAAGGAGGTGGCGAAAATGAGAAACGTTCTGAAAGGCAAACGCACACACATACGCCCTTGCTGTTGGTATGGATTTGTTGGTTACTGTTATGGTGAGTTTTCGGCGGGATGAAGGAACGTGGTTCATTATGGGAGTGATATCTACGGGTGGCCTGGTTTTGATATTTTAACATGTTCATACTATTTCGTCAACTGATCATTATTTTTATATACATCTTCATGTTCTCTATAAAGCCAGTAAAAGCGGACATAAACCCATATCATGGGATATACTGCCTAAGTATCCTTTCTCCTCCGTTATACTCTATCCATATATAGTATATAAGTTCTTGTTCCTCTTTTCACACGTACATGGAACTGGCCAGTTGATCGCTGGTTCCTGGGTGCGCACATCAACGGCTTCAGGAGGCGACCATCTTGACTAGCGCCTGCACACGTAACCAATTCGATATCCTTGGGGTTTTCGAAACAGTGCGCGGCAATGTATGCCTATTCTCAGCACTGAATTTTTACAGCCAACACGTTGAGGCAAAATCATTGAAACAAGAGGGTCCAAGTTACTTGGAAGTAGCGGAGAACATGGTATACGGAGTACACCGAGATGGTCTGATGTGTATGGCAAACTTTCACCTTATAATCCGATACGAACTGCCATATGGACTCTGATATTGCATATTCATTCTCATATTGACGTTGGTGGGGGCAAAAACTGCGGTAGAGAATCTGCCCAGCCGCCTCTCGCCTACGCAGCAAATTCCCAGTTCTGCTGTGGACCAAAAAGCCTCACTGCCAAGGGGGGGGGAGGGAGAAGAGAGTAAATCTCCCCACAAATCTTTTTTTAATTAGAGTACCTCTATTATCGGTGGGCGTTTTCCCAATAGGAAGGCGAAACAGATTGCAGGACAGTGGCTCGTTGAAAGAAGAGCGAGCCCTGTCTATGGAGTCCACTATATGATAATGAGGTTATGCGGAACTACCGAGATCGTCCTCTTGGAGGCCTGCTATATTTTCATGTTTGATAGTTTTCCACGGGTGGGTGTGCCGCGACAGATCAAGTTTGCTGCAAAATGCGTGTATATATGTGCGTGTCCAGGGATGTTGTTTAGGCTTTTATGCGCTTGCAATGGCTAAAGCTGTTGTTCAGATAGTGTCTCCATCTATCTATCATGAGGCCAGGTATTACTTGCATGGTACATGCAAGTTGTTCAGATAAAGAAGCGACCAGAGGTGCATTTAACGAGGTGAGGGATGCGGTTAGGCAGTCGAGATTAGGCCAATGATGCGCCTAGAATTAGCTAGCTCTACAGCTGCACAAGCCTCGATCCATCAACAGCCCGCGTGTTCCTTGGTATTTGTGTGGTACGGAGGATGGTGTAACGCGCAACGCATGTAGAGGACATGTAGCCCAATGCCGTCCCATAACTAGTGAGCAAATGGAGGGGGCCGGAAACCGGGAGGAGGGAAAGAGGAAAGGAGGGGGAGGGGGAGAGCAGAGAGGGAAGTAATAAAGAAAACGGCTTCAGCGGCTGGGCATTCTGATCCGCCAATTAACGCACCGGTTGATTTTTTTAGGCGTGTTGGTGACCGGGTTGATGCAGCGTCCAAATCGAGCAAGTCGAAAGGGTAAGGACAGCTAGGAAGAACCCGAGGGACTGGCAGAGATCTGGATGGGAACCGATTTATACTTACTGCACTGCAGAAAGTCCTTGCAGCGACGTCTATATGCTTGGACGGTGACTATTATATGCATATCGAAAACAAGCACGTATTCCCTGCAGTTGTAGCAACTGCAGGGCAGAAAGTATGTATGGTAATGAGACGAGCCCTTCCACATTTTTTTTTTTGCAGAATATCTGCATACGGACTGGCTAATACGTAGTTTTTTTTTTTAAGTGCAGTTGAAAATCGGGTGGATGAGGTCGCACTGCATGCTCCGAATCCCATTGAAAGATCTGTGCTGATAGCGTCATATGATGGCCGGGAGCTTTGGCAGGGCAAGATTATTGTATAATAAAAACCATGGCCCTGCAGTCTTGTTAGCAAGCCAGCTCTGCAGTTATCCGTAGTTGCACCTGGAGACGCATCTTTCCTCAGACCATAAGTCAATCAATGACAGGACTTGCAGGATAAAAGAAAAATACCTTGTTGACGAGAGGAACCAGGACGAAATGCAATTGCAGTTTTCAGCACCAGACAGACAGGAACAGGATAGGGCTGTGAATCCACCGGGCTCGTGGGGGTTATGGTGGTCGACATGTTGGCGGAAATGCAGCAGATGAGGTTCAACAAGAGGGAGGTTATGTGCTCGTGTACGTTGCAGGTGGACCCCCAGGGAGGGAGCACAAGCTGCTTACTCGGCCCGAACCGACCTCTACCCGTCGGCCACCCACTCGACGGTTGGATGTACATATCAACATATCAACTACATAGCAGTGAGCAGGTAGGTGTATTTCCACCCAGAGAAAGCTGACGTTCTTTGGTCGAAGCAGGGAGAAGCACAACGTGACCCGCGTTTATTTTTCTTTCTTTTTTTTTTATAAGGTGCAAGGCGCTTCCCTCGTCAACGACCCCGACGCCCACCATCAAAGGTTTCTTTCGGCCTCAACAGGGGGAGCCCTACTTTGGATACTTGGAGGGACCATTCTAGGATCCAGATCGCATAGATGAGAAATCCTTACGGAGTACAGAGCACTTGATGACTTGTCGAGGACGCTCTGGGCGGACAAACCCCGATACCTTGACGTCGTAAGGCCTTCTTACATCATGTCCTTGTCTGTCTGATGATCCGAAAAACCTTTAGTTTTTATTTTTCATCTATCAAGGCCCCCTGAACCAAGTTCTACCAAGGTTCCCCCCTCTTCTCTTGACTAAGCTTGCCTGTCGCGTGGTCTCGACCGAGCTGTCAACTTCTCTCCCGTTGTCCATGCAGAGGGAATATATATTATCGACTACGTCTACCGGATGGTGATATCGGATAAGACCCCAGCCTTCTCATCGCCAAGCGATCCTAGTAACGCTCTTCCTTATATTGTCTTGCTCCTGGCCGAGATGGGGGAAAAAAGACTTTGAAGGGCGAAAAAGAGTTGTCTCTGAAACTTCCCTATGGCCAATCAACACGGGGGGAATCGGGACCGTATCCTTGCCAAGAGCACTTCCCGGAAACCCATTTTGTCTGTTGGAAGAAGCTTTCAGAGACTGGATAAAAGATGCCAGGGCTGACGGCCGGCACTTCTATCGTCTGACGAGTTTATCGTTTCTATTCTCTTGAATTCTTCTTCCCCGCGTTTTGCATTCTCGACAAGGTCGTTGCTTCCCCCTGGACTGTCCCCTCACCATCGCTGATATAAATATTTGCATGCCAGTCGGTTCTTCCATCAAGCTCGACCAAGCCAAGCCACCATGAATTGCCCTTCACGCACCGACGAGGACCTTGTCCACCCTGGCTGGAACCAGAACCCGCCATTTCTACCCTCTGATCTGACCAAGAGAGAAGATCTCAATGGCCGTGTCAATGACAGACAGTACCGAGATGGACGAGATCTGTCGTCTTCGTCTCTTGCTTGCCCTGGGGGAGCGTTCGAGTCGCATGATATGACTGTGGAAGCAACACCGTCACCGGCAAGCCTCCCCTTCGCAGATGCAAAACTCGCTCGTTATCGAGAAGGTAAGGCACACCGAATAACATACCCGTTCGTGTATGGTATCTAATTTTAATTAACAAAAAAAAAGAATTTTGCTCTGCTACCAAAGAGACTCCGTCTACCGTCCGTGGCTTAACCGCCCAGACTCACCCATTCAAACGGTGGTTTGTACGATACCAAAGTTATTTTTGGTGGATGGCAGCTACCATTGCTACTACGCTTGTAGTATACCATATAGGGGCCATGTTTCGAACACATTGTAAGTCCAGTCGCTTCTGTCATTCTGTATAAGCCCAATCTAATCAAAGCCTTGCTACAGCCCCTTCAAAAGTTCCCATGAAAAAAGCAAAACGAGCTTCGACATGTGGAAGCGGCGGTGTGGATGCTGCAGAGTATAACCTGCCTCTCCATGTCATCGCACTTTTCATCATCATGTTTGTATCGTCTTTTGCCTGCGGTTTCCCCATGCTGGTGCTCAAGTACCCGCGTCTGCACATTCCACAGTCCTTCTTATTCGCCGTCAGACATTTTGGAACCGGTGTCTTGATCGCCACCGCTTTCGTGCATCTACTGCCAACAGCGTTTACTTCTCTCGGTAACCCCTGCTTGTCAGGTTTCTGGACGAGTGAATATCCTGCGATGCCAGGTGCTATTGCACTTGCCGCGGTTTTTCTAGTGGCCATCATAGAAATGGTATTCAGCCCCGCTCAGCATGTGTGCGGAGGAACTAGCGACATAGAACGAATTGTTTGTAGCGATAAATCGTTAGGTGGACCGCACCCCGGTAGTGATAATGGCCACGACTCGAAACTTATGGATACCCCAAACCTAACTCGAAGTCTTAGCCGCCACGAAGAGGAACTGCCGGTAGAAAGAGCCTCCAGTATAAGGCCTGAGTTGCCCTCAGCGCAGGGAGCTAATGTCGACCATACCCAGGGCGGATCCGGTGAATTCGTTCCAATCATTCTAAGCCCGGAGCAAAGGCGGCAAAAGGCGTTCATGCAATGCATCCTTTTGGAAATTGGAATTTTATTCCATAGTGTCTTTATTGGAATGGCATTGAGCGTGTCTGTTGGGAGTAGTTTCGTCGTACTACTAATTGCAATTGCTTTTCACCGTACGTCTTACAATCACCTTTTCCACCATTTATAATGCTCCTTGCAATATATTTGGATTGAATGCTAACTTTAAAGCCAGAAAGCTTCGAGGGGCTCGCTCTCGGTTCTCGTATTGCCTCTCTGGACTGGGAACCCAACGCTATACAGCCCTGGCTGATGGCGATGGCGTATGGTTGCACGTAAGTCATAGGCTGATGCTTACCGTTGCTCTACTGTTGTTTACGTAAGGGTTTAGCTAACAAGCCTATTCTCAATTAGAACACCAGCCGGTCAAGCTCTCGGTTTAGCTACCCACAGTTTGTACTCTCCTGACTCCGAAGTTGGGCTCGTCATGGTTGGCACTATGAATGCCATATCATCTGGTCTGCTTGTCTATGCTTCTCTTGTTGAGCTCTTAGCTGAAGATTTCCTCAGTGATGAGAGCTGGCGAATTTTGAGAGGAAAGCGTCGTGTGTATGCCTGCATTCTTGTGTTTCTTGGTGCGTTTGGTATGAGCTTGGTAGGAGCATGGGCTTGATCTTTACCCTCCTCCCCGTCATGTAAATGCTATAGATCTATCTGCTTTTATATATTTTCTGTTTTATAGCCATGTCCAATAGACCAACAATGCTACTAGCTAGGTTATCATACAAATATAGATATATGTATTCAAAAATGCGGCTGTTGATAAGCGCATATCACGTGATATTAGCGCCAAACGCTCAAACTTTAGCGGAAAACTAAAGGCGAAGAGAAATGCTTCATCCATCGCATTCAACGCCGCAGGTCTGGAGCATTTACAGTCGCTTGCTCGCAGAGCTGCAAACGCCCTTTCGCGAGAACACCACCGCAAGGGCACAGGGTTAATTGCTGGGCTCATCTTCAACGAGCACGCGAACACCTCCGTCGGTCAACTGCTCTCTCCAACAACCTGCAAGCTTGAAATCGCCTTTTCAAGTCGCGCGCCAGGCTTATGACATTTGGGTACGTAATTATTATCTTCTTCAAGCTTTGGCAAGCTCCTTATATACTGCGCGTTTATGGACACCGCATGCTTTCGTCATCCCGGATTTGCTGCCCTGCACTTCCAAAGCTCCCCGCGCGATATCGGACTTGGGAGCCCATGATAGGAATATATATGGGGATATAGAGGCCATAGTTCGGAAATGGAGCTTTGCACCAAATTTTCTACTCCACTTGATGGAAAGATAGAAACTGGCTGTGTGTGATGAGCTAATGGGCCTTCTTGACAGATATAATATACGCCTTACGACTCATTAATGCACATTTCTCAAGACCTATTGGCCTACGATTATTAGACTGAAGTTCATCACTGCACTTTTAAACAAGAGAGGTGGTGTTTTTTCTCACCTAGCCCAGCCTATGCGGTACCGCCCACAGCAAACCGGAGTCACGACTACTCACTGTCAACCCTCGACCTGGCATGGTCGTCTAGATAATATTCTCGCTTTGTGCATAAAGGGGAAGAGGTCACTCCCAGATCAGGGAGTTGAAGATGTCAAGCTTGTATAAGTCCGTTCTTACGAATTCTACAGGCTCAAAGCGCGGATCCAGCACACCTTTCCGTGGCCGGCCTACAAGGGGGGGACATCGACCTGATTCAGCTGCATCTACTGGGAGCAGTAATAATGTACCAAATCAAGGACATTCAGTGAACAATAGAGGAGCCCATGGTAGAGGAGCCAGCTCGTCACCATTTGGCACCCCATCCCACGCGAATCTCAAGACAGGAGACGTTAACAATAGAGGCGGGTTTACTGGTAATGCTGATCTATATATTAGATGTTTGTACGCATACTAGCCTGTGTTGACCATATTTTATAGGATTTCAAAAAAGCTCTTCCCCGCCCGTCTCTCAGATAAACGGCCAACCCACATTTAATCCATTTGGGCCTAAACCGAACACGCCGGCTAACTCCCCCCTTGGCTCAGCTTCTCGGGGGCAAGGAAGCCGACATGCTCCTTCTGGACAGACTCGTGGAGGTCGTGGAGGTGCGCGGGGTTTTGGGGCTGTTGACCGATCTAGGGATCCAAGGCGGCGCAAGGATACAGCTACTACGAGCGTAAAGCACATGGATAGTATTACAGATTACAATGGTCGATATGAACAGGTCAGTCTCTCCTCTTACTCCATGAAGAAACCATGTTGATGGCTTCCTATACCAAACTGACTCTTTTTTAGTTGAAACAAGATCGCGCTGGCCGGCGAGTACAAGCCATCAAAGCCGGAATGATGATTGACCCAGATCAGCCAACAACTTTGAACCAGGCAATTACCCCAACTGGAAACTGTATGGAGATGTGCCCCGAGTTTGAACGAGTAGAAAGAATAGTTCAGAAGATGGTGGATAAATGCGAAAAGGTTTGTTTATTCACTACCTTGTGAGGACGAAGCTGACTAGTATGTTTTAATTTTAAATAGCACGTTGATCCGGAATCTGGGGTATCTAGTAATATGGAAGGGAGGATGATAAAACGATTTAGACGATCAGCTGCCGGTAAAGATGAGCAGCTGCCCTCAGACATCCGAACTCCTAAAACCTTACTTCAAACAATCAATTATATGCTTCGACATGTCACTACCAGTGACGAGACTCTTGGTTTAATACACAAGTTCGTCTGGGATAGAACGCGCTCAGTACGAAACGACCTATCCATCCAGCAAGTTAGCCAGCGGCAAGATATTGACATTGCCGTCAAGTGCTTCGAGAGAATTGCACGTTTTCATATTCTTTCGCTTCATCTTCTGTCGAGCCCTACAAACCAAGAACAATTTGACCATCATCAGGAGCGAGAGCAACTGAATAATACCCTTCTTTCCCTTCTTTATTATTATGATGATAATAGGGGAAGACTTGAATTTCCGAACGAGGCCGAGTTCAGAGCATATTATATCTTATTTTCTATTCATGACCAACGCCCAGACCTTGAAGCCCGAGTTCAGAAATGGCCTCGTGAACTAAGAGAGTCGCCTCGAGTCCAAGTAGCAATGGAGATGTTTGCAGCGGCAGGGAACACCTGGGAATACCAGGGAACACTGGACGCTAAACGACCTAATCCGCTTGCACAGGGGCTTTACTCTCGATTTTTCAGGCTTGTCAAATCAAAGAGCGTATCGTATCTAATGGCCTGTGTGGCAGAGGTATACTTTAACCAGGTGCGCCAAACAGCGATAAGGTCAATATGGAAAGCATACTGTCGGCAACCGGCCTCTCAACAGCATAAAAATCAAGAATGGACTATTGACGAACTCACCACGGCTTTGGCTTTCGATAACGATGACCAGACAATCGCCTTTTGTGAGGAGCAAGATCTCCAGTTTGCGACCAATAGTGAAGGACAGCTTTATCTGAACTGGGCTAGCCGCCCACTGGATTCAATTGGTGCGTACCCCGGAAAGATTAAATTACTCATCGCTTCTATCTTTGATTGGCAAAATACAAGAAGCATATTTGTTGCATTCCTAACGCTTTGTGAACAGCATTTCAACCATCATCCCGTCAGACTTTCTCATACCGGCTAGTGGAACAAAAACGATGCGGAAGGTCATTGGCTGCTGTTATCCTAGGGATGAGTGTCTCACAAGCCATCAGACACAAAATGATTGATACGACTCTTCTTCAAAATGAGCCGTCCGTTCAATCGGTGCAGGAAGACGAAGGGGGACTCTTTGTTAGCGATGAAGACGATCAACAGCAACCTGCACAACCAGAACAGCGGTCTCCCTTTGAAACAATTGATAAACCGACAGCATCTTCAACCTTTACTATGCCCTCGTTAGGCGCCCATGTGTCCCAATTTGGGCAAAATTCTCCATTCAGCTCTCTATCTAATTCCCAGCTATCGCCAGCAGCCTCCCCTTTCTTCCCTAAAAATCCAAACATAAAGGTTCGTAGCTAACTCTCGCACTTTGATATCATTACTTTTACCACATTGGTTCCCTGTTGTGTTGGATAAATTCTATCGACATTGGAAAACCAATAGATCGAAGAGTTTGCTTTCCGTATATAGACGCTGATTTTAATCTTATCGTTCAGCCGGTTAGCCAGTTTGGACAACCAAGCCCTGCCCAAACACCAACGCCTTTCTCATCATCACCGACGCCGCCAAGTACAAGCGAGGTTTCGTTGGCAGCCCTGTCTAACCCTCCCACGTTTTCGACATTTCAATCAACTGGTTTCGGGTTGCCGTCTTTTTCATCTTCACCCAATGGCAATGGGAATCAAAGTATCCCTGCTTCTTCAGTATTTGGCACTGCTTCTGCCGCCCTTACCGGTACGTCCGAATCAACCGGAACAAATCAAAGCTCCTCTGGAACCCAACAGTCTCTTTTTGGCACCCCTTCACAACTTGGTGCACCAACCGAGTCCAAACAACCCGAGATAAAGTTGTCCAATTCCCCATTCGGAAATGCCCAGCAAGCATCCACACCTTCACAAGGTTAGCATTAGGAATGATATAATCCCCAAGATCTATTGGAATATGGATTGCTAACATTAACCAGATGAAAATTCAAAGAAACGATCCTTAAATTTATTCACGCCCTTCCCGGGGAGCTCTATCAAACAGCAGCCATCTCCGTTTGGACAACGTAAGCTTGGCTCCGCTAATCAAGAACATGACGTGTTCATACTGATACAACGTAGACTCATTTCCTACACCCCAAGAGCTACCCCAGCCAACAGTTCCACCATCAAAAGGAGATGCTACTCTCGGCACAACGCCGTCAGATTCTCCGTTCACCCTATTCCAGGCATCCCCACTACCCCTGTCAACTCCGTCTATTGACTTGACGGAAGATACATCGAATACACAGCCCATGCCATCTTCCTCAACGATGCTTCCTATTGCATCATCTCCCTTCGAACTTGATGGTACTTCCATCCCTCACCTAACCTTTGGCAAAAATTTCATGGCTAATCTTGTCACTATTTAGATTCTGAGCTGATGGCTCAAGCAACAACTTCAAGCCAAGCTGAGCGGAGTGTCGACTTCCAAACTGGGCCATCCACGCAAGAACTAAAAGATGCGGAAGAAAAAGCAAAGAAAGAGAGGGAGGAGGCTGAAGCAAGGGAGGCGGATGAAGAAGAGAGGCTAAAAAGAGAAGCACTTGAGCTAGAGCAAAAAATGGAGAGGCAAAAGCGTGAGGAAGCTGAGGCTAGGAAACGAGAACTAGAGAGGCAGGAAGCTGCTGCTCGTGAGGCAGCCCGTGAAGCTCTACGAAAGCAAAAGGAGGACCGAGAAGAAGCCAGGCGTCAAGCAGAAGCGAAAGAACGAGCCCAACGGGAGCTCGAGCGTGAGCTTCGGGCTGGCCAGCGGGAAATTACACGAAGAGAGGCGGCTGAAAAGAAGGCCTCGCAAAAAGAAGCTGCTAGACGAGTATCGATAGAAGCAGACATTATGAAACGGAAAGCCGACGACCTCGTGGAGAGACTGGAAATCCACAAGAGATCCTCGAAAGCGGCCAGGCTAACTCCAGAAGATGAGCTGTCGGTTGAAGAGCTTGTGAAGGTGAACAGGCCTAGGCACAAGAGGCCACCGACGTCTAACCCCCAACCTTCGAGGCCCGCCATCGACGAAGACGAACTTCTCCTCTCCGCCGCCAGGCTAGCTGCACATACGCTGTCTCAGGGAGCTCGGTTATGGGATGAAGCCCCGGACTTTAGCCGGTCGGTTTCTTCGCCGTCAAGCTCGTCCTTTGGGAGGTCGAGTATCAGATCTCAGCCCAGTTTTGATGGTTCTCGCGCAGTCGTCAACGGTTATGATGTTGCTCTTGCTCCTTCCTCACCACTTGGCCTGGGCAGGACTCTCTCTCGAACGGAGCAGAGGATAAGGGCCACGGGGGCTAAAGGCCTGGCAATTAAACCCATCATACCCGCTCACGAATTGCCACAAATGAGCAAGGATAATGGAAAGGAACCTCAACGCTAAGGGATTTCAACATTGAGCACCAAATAAAAAAACTCTCTGCGATAAGCAGTTAATGGTTTATGTGCGGTCTATCACATATTTTCAGAACATTTTTAGCATTTGGGCGTTCAGCATAGGGTTTTTTGTTTTTACTTTTGGCACGGTTCTCTAGGAAAGAAAAGGAGTTTGGCGGCAAGTGAACTAGTTTATCTGTCCTGATTCCCACCCACCGTTCTCCTATATGGTATAATTTTGAACTATTTACATCCATCAATCAGACTTTATGAGTCCCTGTACCTGGATTTGCCTTATACCTCATGGAGCGAATACCTACTTAAACATTGTCTTCTTCAAATGAAAACTGACAGATTCTTCCCTCTGTGTCTGCTTCTTCCTCATCACATATGAATGACAAAGATGGATAAGTGGCTTAAGAACAAAAGTTCATGGTCCACCCCTGGCAGACAAGATGCACAGCCCCCTGGCGGAACTTTTGATGTAACTTTTGGGGCGGTGAAGTAAATCACTATTAATTAGTTTACAATTAAGCTGGTCGGACATTGGGGGCTAACTATGCCACATTTCGCAACCTAACAGCCTTACCTCAGTGTGTCAACGGGTATAATGTTAAACCACAAAAGTCCTAATGACTGTACTGAGGAGATAACTAAGTAAGCGGGAGAATGTACAGATAGGACCCAATAATCCTACATATTTGAGATGTTTCTCATCTTAGGGGAGAGCGAAGAGCTTGCATGCCTTGCTCCTATTGAGTGCTACCAAGCCCCTAGAATCCCATGTTGATATTTGTTAGTTAAACCACCAAGCAAAATGAAGTCGTCGTTGAGAAGATGACGGCTGAGTAAGCAACGATTCAAGCGGCAACGCAGAGCCCCGGATTGGGTATGGACTCGGAGGGGATAATCTATAATCCCGGTTATGGTTCAGCCTCCGTCGAGGCCTTGGAAGGTTTCAAACCTCAAAAACTACGTGCGGTATCTGGTTTTATAAACATAGGATATAAGGGATAAAAGTATTCTGTCTTTCTCATATATCTCCATGATACCTCGTACTCAGTTATGTGGCATTGACGCATTATATAATAGGATGACTAATTGGATATCTAGGCTCCAGAACTCCTCGTCATCTGTGGAGACAGGGAATTCAAAGAACATAGATTTACAAATATTAGATATCGTTTAGACTACCCTTCTGGTTCCGCATAATTCGGTTTCTTGTTCGTGCGCTTTCAGTGCACCTAATCTATTTCGGCGATGAGGATTGCGACATTTCAGTTACGCCCCCGGCTCGCTGACGTCGAGGGCAATATCCGGAGAGCTGATGTACTGGTGGGAAAGCTAGAAAACATGCTTCAAAGCAATGGCAAAAGAAAAGGGCTAGATCTACTGGTTTTGCCAGAGATGGCGTTCAGTGGTGAGTGTTGTGCTACACATAGATACCATATATATCAAACGACTCAACTCATGCTTCATCTATATAGGATATAATTTTCCATCCTTGAAGGCTGTACGACCATACCTCGAGCCATCGGAGGCCGGGCCTTCCGCTTGCTGGGCACGAAGGATTGCTCAGAAACTAGGTTCTGTTGTCGCAGTGGGCTACCCTGAGATCTGCCCCCCTCTGCAGCCTAAACTGCCTATGCAAGCCAAGACAGGGGAAGATGCGAGAAAACCGCATGACGAACGCCGATTCAACTCTCTGATTATTGTCAGAGAGTCTGGGGAGACTTTGGTGAACTATAGAAAGCATCACCTTTACTATACGGATGACCCATGGGCTCATGAAGGTGAATCCCACGAGAGCGGGTTCTTCCTGATGCCTCTGTCGGCTGGGCTACAGCAAAAGATACCCGAGGACAGCGATGGTGACACCTCCAGTACAGTCGCTCCTCCAAGAAATGAAATACCTACCGCCGTGGGAATATGCATGGACATCAATCCCTACAAGTTCATCGCGCCCTATAGTGCCTGTGAATTTGCAACTCACGCTCGGTCAAGCGGCGCGAGGCTAGTGATTGTATCCATGGCGTGGCTAACACTGTTAAGTTCCGAGGAACTAGCTACTATGGAGGACAAACCAGATATGGATACCTTTCAGTATTGGATTTCCCGGTTTGCGCCCTTTTTCCTACCCGATGAGGAGCATGGGGAGGTAAAAGATGAGATTGGCTCTGACAGAGTGGCTGAGCCGCAAGTCATCATCGTGTTTGCCAACCGAGCAGGGGAAGAGGAGGGACAGGAAGGGAAAGACACTGCAAGGTATGCCGGGTCAAGTTGCGTAGTCGGTATACGACGTTGTCCACACAAAGTGGGGGATGGGAATGTGGACAAAGTTGAGATGCTTATATGGGATATGCTTGGGGCTTCAGAGGAAGGCATTTGTCTGGTCGATACTAGCTCGACGCCCAGAATGATAGGAACTGTAAATATATGATATTTTATGTTGATGGTATGGGTGTGATGGTGTGTATGCGTATATTTGGATATATTTGTCAACCAAGCCAACTTGCCATACCTATCGCATTTTAAATACAACTACCAGAGGCTTGTAGGTGCACCTGGTGAGGATGGGGTGGCTTTCTTTCTAGCCTTTCAATCTTAGATTTTTTGATATCACCTGAGCCCATGTGACTGAAGCGTGATGGTCCCCAGTTAGGGCTCAACCTCCCACGTAAAAACAAGTTCATTTGTCTTGCTTTTCCCTTTGACCTCTCAAATCTCACCTTCCAGGCAGTTCATGCAGGTTAACTGCTGTGAGATGTGGATGGGCAGATGAAGGGAGACCAGTCAAAGATGAAGAACCCAAGATGGCAGAGCCTGAGCAGTGAAGGAAAGGGGTGAGATGATGGTGGTAAGTGGTGCCTCCAGAATTTCTACAACTTGCTGCCCAAGACTTATTACCGTGTATTGTTTTTTTTTTATAGTGACAGGCAAAAAAAGCAACTTTAGATAGCCGGTGTCAGCTTTTACTGTATGTATTAAGAGACCGGTGAAAAAGTCTGCAAGGTGATGGCTTCCATGGTTGGCAGTCTGTGGTACTGCAACCGGGGAAACACATCTACCCGGCCGTCTATTCGAGCGGCCAAAGATACGGCCCGCGAGAGGAGATTGTTTGGCTACTCAGAGCATCGCATTCTCTCACAATGCACCTTTATCTGTACTAGGACATGCTTTTGAGCTACCTAAGGGGAAAAAGCAAACATCGTACGGGTAAGGATGACTGCGAACTGGCGCAACCAACCATACTGGTGGGTACCCTGCCATGAGCAGGTGATCTGAGGCAGGGAGCAGAGAGCTCGTCTCACCCCTTTGGTGCCTGTCGACGGCCATTTTCAGAATCCGCAGCCATGAGAACCTGAGTTTCTGCTTGGACTGAGTCAGAGAGTCACCTGGATCCTAGCGGAAAGATAGGATCCTCTCCGTATCCTGTATCCCATGCTAGGTAAAAGGCAATGATCCATGAGGAGATCCCCCGGAGAGGTTCGATAGCGTCTTTCTCCTGCGAAAGGGAAGCAGAAGGAGAAATCCAGCACAAAGAGATTGGCAGCCGTTGCAATCGAGAACAAATTCCAGCTTAATATCCGCTTGAACTAAGCCTAACAAACAGCAAACAATCAAATGAAGTTGGACAAAAATGCCCTAGCAAGTTTTCCGTTTCCAGTTCTCGTTTGAAGCAGCAGCGTGATAGGTGGTGGGAGGCTCAGTCTTTTCGAGAACCCAAACAAGGTTCTGCGGCAGGAGGACCATGCGCACAGTGGGTGAGCTCCCTCTGCCCCGTCGACTCATCAAGCGTCCGTCGGCAAAAGATCCATGGCCCTTGGTCCTTGATCCATGGGGCGTGGCCCGTCGAAGCCTACTATGCTACAAGGGCCATCGCCATCTCCCGTGCACACCACCATGGAAAGTGGTGCCCATCACGGCCAATAGGAAGGGCTGAGCAGGGCCGTGGAGCCTGATTCGTCAGCAGGGAGCAAGGCACGGGACTCGGGCACATGACTGGCGAAGGGCAGTAGGGTGAAGATGGAGACGGTGAGGTTGAGCAGAGGGCAGGGCAAGGCGAAAGAGTGAGAGCAGAAGCAAGAGAGAAGGAGGCAGAGGTGATTTACTGTCGGGTACATCGACAGCAGCTGGGTTACAGAAAGAACCGGATTCATGTCGACGGCCTCAGTCTGACAGCAGATGCAGGGTGTCATCTCCAGACAGGTGCGTCCACCACCAACAAAAACAACAGCATCGGCATCAGCATCGCCGTCGAAACAGCATCGAAAAAAACCCCGTCGTCGATCATCCTCGAGCCATCCTGAGAATATGAAAGTGCGCAAGTGGCGTGAGCGGCGTGCCCTAGCCTCGCCACGTGATCGTTCTCTCTTCTGCTTCTTCCTCCTCCCTCGCTATATCTGCCAGCTTTTCTGTTCTGCAACACCCATCTTTCTTCTACCCTGGACCAAAAAAACCCCGGCGGCCTCTCGGAGTCGACATAAATCACTCTCTGCGACTATCCGGACGTTCATCAAGTCTGTTCTTTGCTCTTCTCCCCCCTGCTGCGACTGGCTCCTCGCGATCTATATATCGCAGACAGCCCTCGAACAGGTGACTTCTCGTCACCTGATAGATCATCAAGGTATGCAAGGCCATTTCATCATCTCGTCTTCTTCCATCATCGTGAACTCCTTCTCTTCCTCTGTTCTGCACTGTGAACGCGTCTCTTGTTTGATCCGTCTTCCTCTCCTTGTGGCTGGCATTTTTTTTTCCCTCTCATCGCTTTTCTCCCCTTGGGGGACAAGCCATCACCCCCAACCCCGCCCCTCTGTTCCTCTTGGTTGTATATGTCTTGTTATTCTCTGGTTTACAGTCGCGTCTAATCGCGATATTATCTTCCTGCGGGCTGTTCATGGGCTCTATCGCCCTCTATTGATGGAAATATGGCCTTGTTTTGGCTCTCTCTATCTTCATTGCTTGTTATTCCCGCTGGTTTGCTATAGAAAAGCATCCCAACGCGATAGTTTTTACCCTCTTGCTGCCTTAATAGTACAGCCAAGTGAATGTTTTTTTTGCAGAATGATTACTTCTTTCTAGACTTGCTTATGTGAATTACTGGAGTATTTGCTAACATGGATCTGACGCGATCAGAATCTTCATCACACCCAAAAGGAAAAAATAAAGTCCTGACTGTAATAAGTGAGGGAAAAGCATGTCGGAGCCCACTATGAATACAATGGAACACAACTCTAACGACCCAAACACCTCTAATAAACGCAAACGCGAAGCCATGGACACTGGTGACGTCCAGCGTCTTCGCTCTGCTCATGGCGGGCCTAATAATTTCGATGTCAACATCCAAGCCACTGAAAACTACGGCTATGATGCTCACGGAATGCCAAACAACACCACAGACCTGAGCCACATCGATCAGCAACTTCTGCAGGCTGTGGGCAACCAGAATGGCGTCTCTGACGAGAATGCCATGACTGCGAAGGCTGCACTTGCTGCTCATCAGCCCGAGTCCAAGTACCCGCCCCCCGAGCCATCCTTTGATAGCAACGGTCTCGGAAACAACCTTGCCTTCGGCCAGGATGTTGGCCAGGTTTCCATGGGGGGCGTTCAGGGTCACACCTCTACTGCTGCGGCCGTGTATGCTGCACGGGAGGCTCAGGCTCAGGCTGCCCAGCAGATCAGTCCCAAGCCGACCGTCGGGTCTGTCGAATGGCACCAGGTTCGAAAGAACAATCATAAAGAAGGTATATTCCTACATACTTTTGTTTCTCATTACAATGACTAACATGCATTCAGTTGAACGTCGTCGTCGTGAGACAATCAACGAAGGTATCAACGAGATTGCCAAGATGGTTCCAGGCTGCGAGAAAGCCAAGGGCTCGATTCTCCAGCGCGCCATCCAGTACATCGCCAAACTCCAGGAAGACTCTAAAGAGATGGCTGCCCGTTTCGATACCACCAACATGACCACTAACCAGGCAATCACCGAAATCAGTACCCAAAACGCCAAGCTCAAAAATGAAGTCAACCTCCGCAGCGACATCGCTGCAAAGTGGATTCAACGTTGTCGTGATGCTGGACTCAACTTCGATGATTATGACGATGAAAAGAGCCTGGGCAAGCTTCCAGTCGATGAGTCTCATAATATTTAACTGCTGCTACGACGTCATGATACCTCTACACACACCCCTGTCACCTACAGTTTCATCTCTAGTTTGTGCGGACCCTGTTTTTCCCTCAACAAGCTTAATTTATTCCCAGCCTCTACGTCGGTTTTTTTTTTTTTTTTTCTCCAGGGGCCGGAAGTTCCAGGTATCAGACATCCAGAGCGAGCTCCCAGGGCCTTTTTCTCATATTCCAAACCTCTCATCAGTGCTTTAGACAGATGCTGAGGGAAAAGCCCGGCCTGGGTTAGACACAGTGTACTACCTCACTTTGCACCCTTTGATTTCTCTTTTACTTTTCCTATCCCCTTCGTGTTCTACTCTCTTACGCGGCGTACATGGCTAGTTGCTTTATTGTTTTACCCATGGTTTTTATTTTCTGTGTCCTCATCAGGACTAGTTCGCATTCCAAAAAATGGGCGGATGCCTCTCTGCATGCTTTATTAGGTGCTCACTCTTTGTATTCTAAGGGTCAAGGGAATGTTCCATTGGTTGTGGAACCGCATGGAACACGGAGCACTACGGAGCAGATGACGGTTACCAGGCCTTGTCCATAGTTCTATATTTCGTTTTCTCCTTTTCCATCATTTCGTGTTCTGATGATTTCCTATGGAGGCGTCGCCGGCTTGGGCCGATCGGGGAAGACTTTCAGTCATAGTATATGTTATCTACACTGGTGAAGTGGCTATGGAGGAGCTTGGCCTTGTCATAGCATGTCCGTTACAACATATCGTACATATTATCCATGTCTTCCTGTTCTCGCTGCAAGTTACTCGTACGTATATAATTAAACGAACTGGCTCCTGGTAAGCAATTTTCATGGCGAGATACGCATAATAGGGTGCGTGTTATAACAAACTCTTGGCCAAAACGGGTTCATGCCATATAGATTTTATGGAGTATTCATCACTAGACAGAGCGTTTGACCAACGGGTATCTTCCCGATTGCAAATGGCAAAGGAGAGGGAAGAACGCCGGGTTCATCCATAGAAGCGGAATCAGACATGGAGAATGAAGAGGGGGAGTCTTTTTTTATTTTCGGCTGCCTCCATATTTACTTTGTATAGGGTATAATAGGAGACCGATATAGGGGGGAGGGAGCGAGGGTTTCTCTTGATCTGTAACAGCGTTACCCAGCCCAAAAATGGAGAATTGTATATTATTTAATAATCTATCTAATATGCTACATACACCCTTATAGCTAGGACGAGGCCCTCCGTGGCACTGCAGACGCAGAGAGGGATGTTCAGTAAGGATTTGTAGAAGTGCCAATATGACGATAGGATAGAACCAAAGGCTTAGCTTAATATTATATAATAGAATTGAGAGTGAAGCGAGCACGTGACACACTCTCTAGTCAATATTATCTAATCGAGCAAGGAGTTTGGCTATTTAGTGGTTGATTACGTTATTCTGAGTGTGACGACATCAATGTTCACCACGAGTCCATTTCTGATATAAAAACTTGCTACGCGCTTGCTTCTTTTCCTTCTTTCTCATTTTCTTCTCACGACTTCTACTCTACGTATTCTAGATATATTTGGCACATTTACATTTATCTCCCTATTGCTCCGTTTGGAACAATCATATTCTTCTTTCGTAGACTGGTCCTGGTCCGACAACAATGTCATTTTTCCGCCGCTTTTTTTCCAAGGAAGTCTGCACTGCAGACGCATACCCTTCACCGCCGTCTTCTACCAGCACCTCATCCTGGAGGAAGAGGCGAACGGAAGGTTCTTCAGAAAGTGATGGAGAACCATTTCTTGGAGACACATCGATTCACAATCAAGACTACAGATGTGGAGGACCTGTTTTAGTAGAACTACCAGCGATCTCGCAAATCCCACATACTCATAATCCCGTAAACGCCAAGTGGGAGGACGAACTTAAAACACCCGTGATGGAAATTCTGAACAAACACAATATAGACTACAATGGAGTTTACCCCGTGCAACGCGCTTCGGAGGCAGCGATCCACAAAGACTGGCAGGATACTCTCCTAGTTTCAGCCACGAAACATGCTTTAGATGATGCGTGGTATAAAGCTTGCAAAGAGATCCAGACGTTCCTCATAGCGAAAGATACCCCCTTTAATATCGAAATGATTGATGAGCGTGCCAGCATATACCCAAGAGCATATGCAATTGGCCTTCAGGATCCTTTCGTTGCACAATGGCCATCTCTAAGAGATGCAGTTATAGATACGCTTGGTGACAGCGACTGGACTTTGCTTCAACCCTTATTACTAGGATCGTCCGATGGCCTTGGTCCCCGCACTATCACGGTTTCGCTTATGGTGAGGTTCGAATCTACATGTATTTGGACTAGTATTCGTGAGCGGATCATCAAAATCCTTGATAATCAAGGACTTTACCATGTTGCAGTAGCAATCCATCGTGGGTCAGTTCTGCAGACACTTCTAGAGCCTCGCCTTTTGGAGAAAAGAGATTGGGAGCTATCAACAGTTTTCGGCGGTAGCATCGGCTTACGTGGTTCAGATGATTCTTCCGGAACTTTTGGCGGTTACCTCGAATTACAATCAACTGACGGGACATGGCAAAAGTATGGCATTACAAACTACCATTGTATCAGGAATGGGCTTTCGTATCATGAATACTGTGATCAGCATGGAGTCAACCCCGATGATGCCCAAAACAATCCAATACTTGTTGATCAACCCAGCCTAAAGTGCCACAAACGAACTGTTAAGGAATACCTCTCCAATATCAAAGAGGCTGAGAACGTAGTTTCAGCCGAGATACAGCAGCAGATACAGGCCGGAGATCCATCCGTCCCAATGGGCAAAATTCGCCTCTACGAAAAAAACCAGAAGGTTATTGAAGCAACTAGTACGCTAATTGACCAGGGAACTAGATTCATCCAGGAGAAGCACCACCACCTGGGTAGAGTCTATGCTGCGTCTGGGTTTCGAGCGACTGACCGGCTACATCTCCTTGATTGGGCCTTAATCGAAGTTAGAAAGGAAAGGTTGGGTAAAAATGAGGTAAGTCCTTCATTAAACATATTCATACCTTGTAGTATAATACTAATTGAGCCAGATCCCCCAAATATCCGATCCTACTATGCCGACAAAAGTGAAAACCCTATATGACCCGGACGAAAAGTATATCTCTGGGACTGCAGCATTGACAGATGAAATGACATTGTTCAAGAAGGGAAATCGTACTGGCTTTACTGCTGGACAGCTCACCGGCACCAAAGAAGCCACACTTCAACATTGGATCAAGAACAAGGAAGGTAAGTGGACAAAGGTTATGGGCCGAGCCTACAGCGTTGCTCCAAGATCGAACTCTGCATTTGGTGACGCTGGGGATTCCGGATCGCTTGTTATTGATGAATCCGGAAAACTTGCCGGCCTGTACCTCGGCGGTCATAGGAACATTGGATGGGGCCTCTTCATCAGCTGGGAAGATCTATTTGCGGATATCCAACTCATGACAGGCGCAAAAAAAGTCCGTGTTCCATCTACATAAAATTAAAACGCTTTAAGCCAGAGAAGGGTCTTGATAATCCCCTTGCCTTGTTCTTAGAACGTATGTAATGGGCCCCTTGAGTGTAGATATTTTCGTTACGCTAGCATGGGTAGTAAAAAGCTATGAAAGTATGGAATAAATAACCGCCTAATGTTTGAAATGCCATCTTTTGCAAAATTAATTGCACCCATATATGCATCGCTGCCCTTCAGGGGGTTTAATGGATACCTAGGTACACACTATGTAGTATGTCCTTAATGCCATGAGCTTGACTAAATACATAAATGTAACCCGACCATTCCGTTGATCTATTTAACGGAGCTGGAAAAGCAAGAGAAAAGTATTGGCCAGGTATTTGACTGCAGGTATTTGACTGCAAAGGGTGGCTGTTGACATTGCTTCCATGTGAGCCGAAGACTATTCCGCTTGAAACACAGATAGGCGTGCAGGGTGAGCGCAGGGATAGGAGGGCTTGCCAGTAGCCTCCTGATAGTGGTCTCAGGGCAAAAACGGGCGGGGCCAACTTTGGGTATGCTTATTTTGCCAAAAACCTCAAGAATTATCCATATGCAGACCGTTTCTTCAGGGATGTCCATTCGCTTTGCGGAGAACATCGTGTGGAAGGACGGGTGATATTACTACTAACCACCCCGCAGGGAAAAAAGTGAATATGACCTGATTTTTTTCTACGCAATATATGAATCTACCAATAGAAGGCAGGACAGTGTCTAACTACACAAAAATGAGTGACCAATTACAGAGTAGACTTTTTGAGGATTATTGTGTACAACTCCCTGCAGCTCCCTGACGTCCTAAATCAGGCCACTCGGAGGTTCTCCCAATTATCAAATATCTCGGACTAGACACGCCAAGCTTCATTCTTTTGGGGGCTATACCCTACGAATCCCAACTGCCGCACCCGTTACTGTAAGGTCTTGATAGGCAGCGCAGCCTTCTTTTGCATATGATCAACGAAACAACTTCTGAAATAGAATGTTAGTCTCGTCTGAGAGTATGACTAGAGAATAGGGCTTACCTTACCCATAGGCTGTCATCCATCCACTATTAAAGGTATACCTTTTCTTAGATACTAGCCACCCGGAGGTGATATATTCAACGTCGTAATTGATGTCCTCGAGGAGCTGAGCGTTACGGCACTGGCGACCACACCTTTCGCGCTGCCCTCGGTGCACAGTAATACCCCGCGGGCAGTTGTATATCAATTTCTTCGCAGTAGTGCTTGGGAGAATGCACAAGTCCCCAACACTGCTATCTTCTTCCATAGAGTACTCAGAATTTTCTGTCGAGACGCGCCAGGTAACACATTTATGATAACATTGATCCTCCAGCCACGTAACAAGCTCTGGACACTGGAAATATCTGGCCTCCTCGAGGATACTCGCATACAGTCGATAGTCATGGCCCTTTGTTGCATCAAAAGCAAGAGGAAATACTCCTCGACGAAGATACCTAAGGACGTGTTCGAATGTGGAGCTATCGGCGTCGATGAAGATAGACCCATCTTCCATCATGGGTATTGTCCATTTCCCTGAAAAATAGGCCTTGAAATAATTACTCTTCTCTGTCAGAGTCTCAACAGTTGTGTGATATCTGCCTTCGCCTACTTGAATCACAACAAGCTTTGAAATATTTTCGTCATTTGTAGTTTGGACCGGAATATTCGCAATAGGTATATCTGCAGGCTCTGCAGCGTTGAGGGAAGCCATCGTCAACACATAATTCCCATAAGCAAATCGGCTGTGTTTACATATCAAACCCTCTTGCCGCGAGGCAGTAATAGAAAGTGCGAATAGCTTCGGAAAAAGGGTGGGGCCGGTTTAAGGTAATTCCCACACTTGGAAGGTCCACTAATATTTAAGCTCGTACCGCCCCGCCGGCAATAACCCAATTATCAGCCCCATCAAAGGAACTACTTTTACCTGACAGCAACAGCACGCTTGCTTTGATGCCTGGGACAATTTATAATTAAACTTACAGTTCCAGGACCCGACATAGTGCAGTTTATACACTCCGGCGACAGCCGATATCAAACCCTCTCTAGATTGAAAAAGTTCTGTCTTCTATGGAGACGCTCGGGGCTTATGCCCTGAAAGCCATCATAGATCGTCTGAATGCAGAAAGGGCAATTACAGACAAAGGACACTCAAAGTCTTTGATCTTAAGTGGCGGATTTAGTATGGGTGGAGCATGAACAGCCTAACCTCTGATGAAGAGTAAAGCTAGTTCCATACGATAGGCTGATTACTATTATGCTTGGGCGGCTCGAAATGGATGTGAACGAATGTATCAAGCTATACGGAGTATAGTAGTCATGCTCAATCTGTGTCTAGTAAAATATCCAACCACTTCCCATGAATTCTAGTAGTGGCAGCGCATAGGAGCTTAACAAATTCCTGTGAACGAGCCTAAGTCCAAGCAAACTATCCCGGAGACAGAGTTGCTTAACAGTGGAGCAACGCGGGGATGCCATGTATGGGTGACTTACCAATGAATTATAAGTTAAATGCCGCAACTCTGAGTCGACTGGGCTTGTATACTCCACAGATTGTTGCACAAAAAGGTTCGGGAGCTATAAGCTCCTCGGCCAGCCAAACGTTCCTGCTTGCAATCTCTGCAGGGATGAAATTTAAGCCAGTTACAATGACGACCGTATCTTTGCCAATGAGGGCCTGGAAGCAAATTGCCCTGTCATCGAGTTAGGGGGCGAAACATCAAATATTTGGTGCAATGGGGCTGCGGACTTGGCCCCGCTAGTCAAGTGCTGTATCTCAACCGGAACCAAAAATCTTGGGTAAAGCCATCTGAGGGCGGTTTATTAGGTTTTGTGTCCGAGACCCGCATCTTGTCACAAAAACAAAAAAGCAAACGCAGAGTTCATCGATCATTGGTGAGATACATATCAAGATACGAAACGCTATATGGGCCAGGGACTGAGGGACTTGGCCTTGACGAACGTTATAACAAACATTTACCACTCCATACGTTGGTTGCGGGTGGCCTATACAACGCTGGCAACGTTAAGGGAGCTACTTAAAAAGATACAGAGAAAACCTTCCAGATCGCCTAGTAACAGAGCTTCAGCCTAGGCAAATGTTATTAAAGTGTTAAAGGAAACGCTAGCCCATAAGTCTACTGACAGAATGGCCAAATCAAAGGAGAAGAGATGGATGGTGATATATACTATGGTAACTATCGTCTGCCCCTTTTTTTATTCTCCGTGAAATTGCTGCGAGTTTTGGCTTGCTTACTAATAAAAGTTGATACCAGCTTTCGTATAATATTTAATCCTTATCCGAGGTTGACCTTACGTAATCTAACGGTTCTCATTCTCATTGGACGACCAGGCTTGCATGAGCATCAGAAGTGACAAGCTAATGATGGTTAAATATTTAACTGGAGACGAAGAACTTCTAAGATGAAAGCAATCTGCCTCGTTAAACAGGGTGGTATTTGCTGTTATTCGTGGAATATAAGATACGAGCCAGAAATTTACATGCAACATAGTTACACACTCTCGTCTATCTCCGTCATATTTTAACTATAGCTAGCCCGGTTTCCCTCTTCAGCCCCCAACTTCGGCCCGGCTAGTCCACCAAGCAGCGGGACATCAAGCCTTGCAGCGAGAGCTGGTTTAAATAGGTGCTTAACCAGCTAGAACTCGCAAATAAATAACACCTCCCCTGCCGCTGCTCATTTTACATGATACTCTACAATGTCGGACAGAGTAGCTCCAAATCTTATACCTCCACGCACAAGTTCAACAGGTGTCACCAAGCCAGTGACGG